CGGGCGGACACTTTAGCCACTAGGCTACCCAACCAACCCGTTGCCATTGGAAACATGCTGTGTATCACTCACTACGGAAATGAGACGCCGCGTATATCATTACTGTGAACATGATAATCCGTACATCTCACTTACTGTGAACATGATAATCCGTACATCTCACTTACTGTGAACATGATAATCCGTAAATCTCACTTACTGTGAACATGATAATCCGTACATCTCACTTACTGTGAACATGATAATCCGTACATCTCACTTACTGTGAACATGATAATCCGTACATCTCACTTACTGTGAACATGATAATCCGTATATCCCACTTACTGTGAACATGATAATCCGTACATCTCACTTACTGTGAACATGATAATCCGTACATCTCACTTACTGTGAACATGATAATCCGTACATCCCACTTACTGTGAACATGATAATCCGTATATCTCACTTACTGTGAACATGATAATCCGTATATCTCACTTACTGTGAACATGATAATCCGTACATCTCACTTACTGTGAACATGATAATCCGTATATCCCACTTACTGTGAACATGATAATCCGTATATCTCACTTACTGTGAACATGATAATCCGTATATCCACTTACTGTGAACATGATAATCCGTATATCTCACTTACTGTGAACATGATAATCCGTATATCCCACTTACTGTGAACATGATAATCCGTATATCCCACTTACTGTGAACATGATAATCCGTATATCTCACTTACTGTGAACATGATAATCCGTATATCTCACTTACTGTGAACATGATAATCCGTATATCCACTTACTGTGAACATGATAATCCGTATATCCTCACTTACTGTGAACATGATAATCCGTACATCTCACTTACTGTGAACATGATAATCCGTATATCCCACTTACTGTGAACATGATAATCCGTATATCCCACTTACTGTGAACATGATAATCCGTATATCTCACTTACTGTGAACATGATAATCCGTATATCTCACTTACTGTGAACATGATAATCCGTATATCTCACTTACTGTGAACATGATAATCCGTATATCCACTTACTGTGAACATGATAATCCGTATATCCCACTTACTGTGAACATGATAATCCGTATATCCCACTTACTGTGAACATGATAATCCGTATATCCCACTTACTGTGAACATGATAATCCGTATATCTCACTTACTGTGAACATGATAATCCGTATATCTCACTTACTGTGAACATGATAATCCGTACATCTCACTTACTGTGAACATGATAATCCGTATATCCCACTTACTGTGAACATGATAATCCGTATATCTCACTTACTGTGAACATGATAATCCGTACATCTCACTTACTGTGAACATGATAATCCGTATATCCCACTTACTGTGAACATGATAATCCGTATATCCCACTTACTGTGAACATGATAATCCGTATATCTCACTTACTGTGAACATGATAATCCGTATATCCCACTTACTGTGAACATGATAATCCGTATATCCCACTTACTGTGAACATGATAATCCGTACATCTCACTTACTGTGAACATGATAATCCGTACATCTCACTTACTGTGAACATGATAATCCGTATATCCCACTTACTGTGAACATGATAATCCGTATATCTCACTTACTGTGAACATGATAATCCGTACATCTCACTTACTGTGAACATGATAATCCGTATATCCCACTTACTGTGAACATGATAATCCGTATATCCCACTTACTGTGAACATGATAATCCGTATATCCCACTTACTGTGAACATGATAATCCGTATATCCCACTTACTGTGAACATGATAATCCGTATATCCCACTTACTGTGAACATGATAATCCGTATATCCCACTTACTGTATCATGTCTGAACCGATAAATACTGGTAAACTGGTTATATTGCGCAGCCCTACAACCCGTATATCTCGATCACTCTGAATGTGACAACCCTTGTAGATTACAGCCCGGGAAAGCCACATTTAAGAAAAACGGAGTTTAAAATGGTGTGGCTTAACCGGCAATGGACATGGTTGAGTAATCATGTGAATGTGGCTTTCTCGGCAATGCGTTATTAGCTAATCCGTGTTACCGTAAATAATGTGAAATATTCGTTATGTAAAATCTAGAAATCCAGTATTCAGAAATCCAGTATTCAACTGGATTTTTAGATTTCACATAATGAATATTTCACATTATTTACGGTAACACGGATTAGCTAATAGCGCGTCCAGAATTCAACTGGATTTCTAGATTTTACGTAATGAATATTTCATATTATTTAAGGTAACACGGATTAGCTAATAGCGCATTGTTCGAGGCTAAAACTCCAGATCACGCAAACTGAAATTGCCCTTTTCCATAGAATGACCCATTAGCAGAATAAAGAAGCCGCCTATCATATGTTAACAAACAAAGGACAAGTCACTAAAACAATTTTAATCCATTGTGATCAATGGGTGACGCTTATTTGTTAAGTACGGTATTGATTCCCTTACTCATTGTGGCTTTCGCGGAATTCGCTGCACCGAGGTTTGTACTTGTAATGTGGTTTTAGCGGCAATTGGTATTTTTCAAATGTGGCTTTCCCGGATATCTCACTTTCTCTGAGCATGACAATGAGTGTTGACATGGAAGCGATGTTAAACATTCTCAGTATGCTTATTAAATATAATAAATGTATACGAGTGAGTAAGTGAATGTTGCTTTATGCCGCACCAGCAATGTTGGAGCTGTTCTCGGCCAATCATAAACGAAGGGACAAACTAGCTTTTACAAATGGTTTTGTCGCTTTTATTTATATGAAAAACATAGGTAATTCAACAATTTCAATGTATCCCGATTTCAGGCACGTTTTGCACTGTCACTGTGATCACAGCTATTCGTTTGGTTATAGGATGCCTCTGAAATTCGCACACATCAGCACAATTAAACATGGGATATATGTGTCATGTATCAAAACATCGGAAGTCAGTTATGACCCGAGGTGATTGGTAGCACTTGAAAATAACAAAAACATCCCACAAGATAACGTCATTTACGCATGCGCGTGTGCAACGAGATAGGATCCCGTGTGACCAATATTGCAAATGATATGACAAGATAATCATAACAGCCCACGTGCCCATAGTTTTGGTAATTACAGGGGACGACTATCACAAGAAGCCAGTTCCCGGCCACATCGGAACGGCATCATCTGCAACTGCAGAGAGCGGTTCCCACAGAAAAAATCCGTTTATTTTGGTCTAAAAGTCTAAACTTGAAAACTCAATCTAGTATTTAGAAGCATGCTCGTGAATATCAGCCAATGAGGTAGCAGGCTGGTCCCAAAATAACGCGCTCGTGCGCTTTGCGATGGAGTTGAGGAGTGGGTGAGCAAGGCGACGTAATGCGACCTCCGTGGGAAAGCTCCGGAATGTTCTTGGCGTGTCTTTTTATAGTTCTCGATTGCTGTAGGTCTTACTCATGTTTTCGGTTGTATTCTGGATAACACAAGGTGCTATGTTTAGCGGTGGGATCGTTACGTGTAGCCAAAGTGCTGATGTGTGTCTCATAGGGCATAATGTAGACTAACAACTAGTCTCTGAAATGAACATATTTTACTGAAAAAAAGTTCATAGTAAAAACATAATGAAAAGGAGCCCTGAGACTTTCTTCATTTCAATCTAGACTTGCCACATTTTCTAGACTTGCGTGGGCTTTCTTGGATATATTTACTTCAGGGTCTGTACGACAGACTAGGCATAATGTATTACAGGGACTGCAGCTCACCTTTCAGACATTGTCATTTTCATTAGACTAACAACTAGTCTCTAAAATTAACATATCTTACAGAAAAAAGTTCATAATAAAACAAAATGAAAAGGAGCCCTGACATTTTCTTCGAAACTGAAAATCTCGACACTTTTGGATTTACTCGTTTCAGGGTCTGTATGTCAGACTACAGTTTCGGATATACTTGTTTCAGGGTATGTATGTCAGACTACAGTTGTGGATATACTCGTTTCAGGGTCTGTATGTCAGACTACAGTTTCGGATATACTCGTTTCAGGGTCTGTATGTCAGACTACAGTTTTGGATATACTCGTTTCAGGGTCTGTATGTCAGACTACAGTTTTGGATATACTCGTTTCAGGGTCTGTATGTCAGACTACAGTTTCGGATATACTTGTTTCAGGGTCTGTATGTCAGACTACAGTTTCGGATATACTTGTTTCAGGGTCTGTATGTCAGACTACAGTTTCGGATATACTTGTTTCAGGGTATGTATGTCAGACTACAGTTTCGGATATACTCGTTTCAGGGTCTGTATGTCAGACTACAGTTTCGGATATACTTCGTTTCAGGGTCTGTATGTCAGACTACAGTTTTGGATATACTACTCGTTTCAGGGTCTGTATGTCAGACTACAGTTTTGGATATACTCGTTTCAGGGTCTGTATGTCAGACTACAGTTTCGGATATACTTGTTTCAGGGTCTGTATGTCAGACTACAGTTTCGGATATACTTGTTTCAGGGTCTGTATGTCAGACTACAGTTTCGGATATACTTGTTTTAGGGTCTGTATATCAGACTACAGTTTCGGATATACTTGTTTCAGGGTCTGTATGTCAGACTACAGTTTCATATACCTCGACATATACCATGTGCGACCTGTAACAGTGACTGAGTGAGTGAGTGAGTATTGTTTAACACTGCAAAGTTTGGAAACTATAATACCGTCTATTGTGAGTCTATGCCGAAGCCCATGCTTGTAAGAGGCGACTAACGGGATCGGGTGGTCAGAATTGCTGACTTGGTTGACACATGTCATCGAATCCCAATTGCGTAGATCGATGCTCATGCTGTTAATCAGTGGATTGAGTGCGGCGTAAAACTAAACTCACTCACTGTGCCGTGCAATGTGGATGGCAACACGAGTAACGAGTATCTGAGCACGGTGATCTACCGATGAATCGTCTGGTTGACAAAATAATTCTGTATCTCCTTCTCTTTCAGGCAACGGAGTTGAATCTGAAAGCATTAGACATAGCCCAGAAGATTGGCAATAAGGTACGTAGTCAGCACCCTTAACTACCCCCACCCATCCCATCCCCCACACACACACTTAAAATGTATGTACCAAGTAAGTGACACAAAATCAATGCCCCCTTCCCATATTTTTTAAGCTTAATTTTTTTTATACGTATATCTCCAAAATTGCTGACGCCACCTAGTACATAAGTACAAAACTGATGACGCCCTACCTCCCCAGAACAAACTGCATGGGTGACATCATCAGTATTAACTCCCCCTACCCCCACCGCCATAAATTATGTACGGTCCCTAAGGTTCGTAGAAGTCTATCGCCAAATCCGTATACTCATTACTAAGTCTCACATACGATGACGTATTTCATAACAGTATATTATTATCACCCCAAAACGAAAATACCAATAACCTTAAAGAAGGAGATTGTTAAGAATAATCATTGTGAAAACATGCCAATCTAGTTTAATTTTTTGCCGTTGAATAACAGCCGTGGAGTCCACCATGATTGTACAAAGCCACACAATGGATCGGACAGTCAGATAATTGGGCTTCGGTTATAATTAATAGGAATCACTGGTTTGTCTGGTCCAGACTCGATTATTCATCGGCCGCCGTCATATTGTTGTTATATTGCTCTGTGTGGTGTTAAAAAACAAACTGTATATTGATTATAAATTTGACTTGACCATTTCAGCTCAAACGTGACAATCATCACTGTACACACATGTGTAATTAGGAACAAAATACAAATGGTATCAATACGTTACGAAGACGAAAACAGTCGTAACTGCAAACGCAAGGTCTTAAAAAGAACTATGATCAAATACATCCCTATATATACCCGTGAAGATCCGGGTTGGAATTGATCTTCAGTTACCCATGCTTGTCGTAAGAGGCGACAAACGGGATCGGGTGGTCAGGGTCGCTGAGTGGGTTGACACATGTCATGGTATCCTGATTGTGTAGAACGATCCTCATGATGTTGATCAGTGGATGGTCTGGTCCGGACTTGATTATTTACAGACCGCCGCCATACAGCTGGAATGTATGCCGAGTGCGGCGTAAAACTAAACTCACTCACTCATCCCATTAAAATATCAATTTCTTGTTTGCTTCATTTTAGCACTCCGTGGTGTAGTGGTTAGAGCGGCCGCCCGGAGAGCGGAAGGTGGCGGGTTCCATCCCCGACCGCGTCATACCAAAAGACGTTAAAATATGGTACTTGTTGGTCCCTGCCTGGCGCTCGGCATTAATGGGTGCAACAAGGACTGGTCGGCTCTGAGTATAATGTGTCTGAGTGGGGTTTTCATACTTCACTGCGGCATGGTAAATCAGTGGACTAGCACTATAAAACCAGCTTCAGTCTGGGCTAGTACAAGCAGCCGCACCTACACATACACACGCTTGCACGTCGTCATATGAGCGAAATATTGTCCAGCGCGACGTTAAACCTAATTTCACCTCACCTCATTTTAGCAATGGCCAAACAAGGGTGTGTTACATTTTTCATCGACGTTTACGTTTACATCGACTGTGGACAATATACAGCAACAGTAACATTTCCTGGTATCTTGTTGATAACGTTTTGGTATGTCCATATTCTATCGCAGTTGGAGATGTTACGGTGCCACGCCCGATTGAGGACGTTGTACGCTGCCACTGGAGATGAAACTCTAGCCCATCGCCACTTCTCTGTACTCCGGCAGTTGTTGGACGAGATGGAGCTCCTCTGTGGTGTCTGTGATGAGGTTGTCGGCGAACGCCCTGAGAAATTAGACGCCCTTCGCTGTGGTCACTTCATACACGGCAGGTGAGGGTCAAGGCCACTCGTGAAAATCCGGGTTAGAATTGGTCTGCAGCCACCCATACTTGTCGTAAAAGGCGACTGAGTGGTCAGGCTCGCTGATATGGTTGACACATGTCATCGTGTGACAATTGGGTAGATCGATGCTCATGATGTTGATCACTGGATTGTCTGGTCCAAACTCGATTATTTACAGACCGCCGCCATATAGCTGGAATGTTGCTGAGTGCTGCGTTAAACAACAAACAAACAAACAAATGTCATCAAGGACATGGAAACAGTATTTAATGAAACTGTCAACATGACAAGATCACTAGGCTTGATGTGCCCCTTTGTTTGTAAATAGGCAGGCAGAAATAGCGGTAGCAGTCAATCAGGCATTGCTCAAGAAGGGAAAGATACATTTCTGTTATCATCCGGACAATAGTAATGAAAATCGGGTTTGTTACCGGTCGAAACCTGACTGTAGTTCGCTCGCGATAGAAAATCGCTGAAAATTGATGTTTAAGATGCTGATTTAGATTATGATAAAGAATAGTTTCCTATGACATATAGGTAGCAAGTGAGATGTAAATTTATGTCCATTTGAGTGTCACTGGGTAGGGGCTGTGGTAGATCAGATCAGATTGTTGGTAAAGATGTGATTGGAAAGTTAGAAACACCAAAGACTACCTCTCTTATTTTGTAATGTGACTAATAATTATTACTTTTGACACTATGACATTTTTAGATTTTAATAACTCATAACCCTTGGGTAACGTCTTGATATTTACATTTCAGGTGTTCTGATTATCTTGCCCGATCAACTCTTGGAAGGGCCGGAAAAACCCGACCATGCCCGGCGTGTCGTCGGAAATCTTCGGAGAATCCCGCCTTGTACACGTGACAGGCATGTGTTGCCTATGAACTGCTGACTAATGACGTCACGAAAACATGACGTCCAGAGACAGGCCCTGACTGGAAGAAATAAACTCGACTGATACTGCCTTAGGAAAAGTGAACATGCTTGCTTCTGGTATGTCTTAGTGCAGCTTCTCGCGAGATCCGTGCGAGATGTGAGGTCATCTCGCGTGACCTGTGACGTAATAAAACGGGACAAAATGGCCGCATATCTGACTTCAAGTTAATGGACATATATCGATGTATGTACGGTTTTGAATGACAAATTGTGTCATACGACTGAAAACGGACGCCAAATGAAATGGTTCCTGGAGACAAAAATGCCAAATACCGAATCACAACGACCCGAAGGAGATGCTACCAAGTGTAATATTAACAAAACACAACCATGTTACCGTGGAATGACGGGATAATACAAGAACCCACCAAAAATGGTTACAGAAGAATAATCTGCTGTATAACAGTACACAGATAAACCGTTAGAACGGATCACACGAGCCCGGACCATTCCTGCCCAATTGGTCCACCTGTATACATATAACTTTACTCCTTATTCCGAACATGTGTTAAACAGTGCGCTTTCCTTTGTAGGGGGACCGTCCGGAATAGCAGGGTTTGGTTGTGTAGAGAGGTGTTAAAAGCTACAAACGTAAGCGAAATATTTTGAACAGATGTCAGGTTAATGAGCGTTGTACTGATTAGTACTGCACAGAACGAAATGTTACATTGCGGTGCAACGAAGACGGACATGGACACAAGAAAAGACTATGGGTCTCCGAACATGGACACTTGAAAATATTACTGGTCTCCGAAGATGGACCCTTGAGAATATTATTGGTCTCGGAACATATACACTTGAAAATATTATTGGTCTCCGAATACGTGGAATATATACACTTGAGAATGCTTTTGGTCTCCACACATGGACAGTAGAGAATATTATGGGTCTCCGAACATGAACAGTTGAGAATATTATTGGTCTCTGATCAAGAACAGTTGAGAATATTATTGGTCTCCGAACATAAACAGTTGAGGATATTATAAGTCTCTGAAACGTACACTCTTGAGAATATTATTGCTCTCCAAACATGGACAGAAGAAATATTATGGATTTCCGAACACTGCCACTTGAGAATATTATGGGTCTCTGATCAAGAACAGTTGAGAATATTATGAATCTCTGAACATGGAAAGAATATTATTGGCCTCCGTACATGGTCACTAGAGAACATTAATAATTGGACCCAGAAGTAATCACGACGAACTCCCAAGACAGCCAAACACACCAGGCAGCCATTACGTGTCAAAACAATTTAACTTTGTACTTTATATTATACCTGTCCATTGTATTTATAGTCTTAACATCATTTGAATAATATTTTGGACGCGGTTTTTTTTCAAATTGTTATAAAAATGTCATTTTTGAGAGATTTCACATAAAGATCGAAACCTGCTGAGTGAACTCGAACAACATGCCCCGGATATGACGAGCAAGAGGACGTAACATTATCATCACGTCTGTCATTATTATCGCTGTACGCTAATATTTGTTCTCCGATTATCTCGAACTACGGATGTCAATGGAATTTCAATGATTCAGACAACAAGGAAAACATCAAATATGTGTTTCCATATTTCGATATTTCGACTAAAGGGAGATCCGATATTAAGGCAGACTTTCGATAACGTTTTGTTCAAATATGACATCATGGCGTTCGAGTTTAAAAACATTCGATGAATTTTTAAAATGCAGGTATTGGTTGTGTAACCTATCCAGCGATATATGCAATTGCAGCTTTTGAACAGGTGTTACAGAACTAAGATTTGACACACATACGTCCAACGAACCCTTTCTTACGATATGAAGATAATCGACATGTATCAGACGCATCGTCAAAGAGAGACTTCCTCCAGACATAGTAAACTCAATGAGAATCAACAACCCTTCCGCTCGGCAGCTGGATCACGTGATCAGCACGTGCCTCATTTACATATTATCTGATACATTTCAGTATATAGTAAATACAAACACAAAGTATTATATTTTTAATTACGAAATTAAATCGAAGAGTTCTATGTTTACTGTGCTTTGACTTGTTGTTACGTCTGTTAAGTTTATGTGAAGACAGTTGAAGCGTGTATCTGTGTTACGTCAGAGCGACCTCTACAGGCAGAGTAGTTTATGATTTCCGTATGACCTTATTTATTTAAATATTAGTGTGCGTAGAATATTTTATCTGTCAATCACTGTTGTTTTGTATGTTTTTAAGTACAGATGTGCTTTGAGTAAACATGAATAATGAACAATGGTTTTGTCTCCGTGTCTTACTTTTTGATTCCCATTAATTTTGTCGGTGAATAATTTATTTGCCGTTGCATGTGTTTGTGACGGTGCTACCAATAACACAGGATACGTGAACTGTGATCGCGGTTCATGGTACAATATGAACTTGTGCAAAGTATAAATTCCCGTAAAATATTATTCGTAATACTGCTGTGATTTTTTCCTGTTTGGCTGCTTGTAACCCTCTCAGTGAGTGAGAGAGTTTAGTTTAACGCCGCACTCAGCAATATTTCAGCTATATGGCGGCGGTCTGTAAATAATCAAGTCTGGACCAGACAATCCAGTGATCAACAACATGAGCATCGATCTACGCAATTGGGATACGATGTCAACCAAGTCAGCGAGCCTGACCACCCGATTCCGTTAGTTGCTTCTTACGACAAGCATGGGTTAGTGAAGATCAATTCTAACCCGGATCTTCACGGGTATGTACCCCTCTCTGATAAGTATAATGCAAATCATCTATTCCTTGTTTTAACATCTTAATGCCGAGCAACAGTATGACGCCGTATGACGTCGTATGACGCCGATCTTCTGTTTCCGGATTAAACGGTCCACAAGACCAAGAGACCTGCGAAGATCCGAGTTAGAAGTGGTCTACAGAAACCCATGCTTGTCTTAAGAGACGATCTAAAGGGTCGGGTGGTCAAAACCGCTCACTAGGCTGATGCATATCATCGCATAACAACTGCACAGATCGATGCTCATAATTTCAAATGCTGATTTGCCTGGTCCTGATTATTTACAGAATGCAGTCGTATAGCTGGAACATATCTGACTGCACACGCCGGTCCAGGGAGGCGGTCTCTTGGCCTGGTACACGTCTTGATCGATTCATGTTCACGCCATCAGCCACTATTATATTATATGTTTTGACGGATTCATTCTAAATCCCATTCAACGTTCATTCGGTCATTTCGAAAAATCGAATCTCGACCCGCCGGAACATTTCTAGGGGAGCTACGGATATTGTACGAGCGCTTCGAACGCTTGGTTAAGCCGTGTTTGTGTACCCCGTCAAGTTTCGAACTACACAGCGCAAATACTGCCGATGTGACCTTAAATATTAATTCCGTCTTTCGTGTAGTCTCTGTACTCTGTAACAGAGTGTGTGTGTGTATGATTTTCATGATATTTCAGTGTTTTTCAAGGTTTTTGAAGTTCACATGAGGGTAAAAGTAGTATTGAAGTGATGCAGACAATGCCGCTCTGAAACTCACGCACATTGCGGTGCAAACAAACATTTGATGCTTGTTTGAATTTCTAAAAGTTTCGAATCAGTTATATTTTTATATAGAATAATGTGGAAATATTCTCTGAAAGCTGACTGCAGTTTAATGTTATGATATAATGACGCTGATCTAACGCCCGTATTTACAATATGGGAAGGGAGACAACTCTTGCCCAACTTCAGCTGAATGATTCCATTCAAAAGAACCAGTCAGGCAGTGCTATCGATCGTCCTCGTCCGTACTATATATCCAGTCAAAGACCAGTTGGATACCAAAGTGTCTTTTAGAACCCTAGTCATACATACCTGCCATAATGGCATCGGAACTCTACGACATGACTTTAAATATGATACTAGAGACCTGTAGACCCACCCCCATCCCTATCTTCCTTCTTTGTCCCTTTCTTACGTGTTAGGGGCGGTGGGGTAGCCTCGTGGTTAAAGCGTTCGCTCGTCACGCCGAAGACCCCGGGTTCGATTCCCCACATGGGTACATTGTGTGAAGCCTATTTCGCCGTGATATTGCTGGAATATTGCTAAAAGCGGCGTAAAACCCCACTCACTCACTCTTAGGTGTTACGTTAGCATGTAATTTTACATGTAGTATATTTGGACTGAGTGAGGCAAAATGTGCCGTTGTCGAAATGAGAGAGTACCGCAGAAATACGAACTGTAAATGAGCTTTATCACACCCTGAATAATAAACGACTCTACTGTTTTGCAATGTGTGTTTGGCACGACCGAACGTGTCAATTGTTGAATATACAGGTCCTGCTTACATAAATGAAACTTCTGCTTCGTGCATTTACGAAAAGACTTGCCCCGGCTTCACAAGTTAAAGTGTCAAGATGGATTGCATGAGTGCATTCAAACGTACAACAGCGACCCATTCAGCCAGAGTAATGGCGCTTTATGATGTTCCAACTAAAACTGCAGCAACATTACGCCGAGGAACGCCATCACTGTTAGGCTATTGCTACAAGCCGACAACTTAACACATCCTCATCTACTACCCATGCTAGTGTCAAATTAAGACGTCAAGGTGTGAATATAATTAATCTCAATTACCTGCCGAACAAATTCCGGATTATATAAATGAGTGAGTATGGTTTTACGCAGCTTTTAGCAATATTCCAGCAATATCACGGCGGAGGACACCAGATATAGGCTTCACATATTGAACCCATGAGGGGAATCGGACCTGGGTCTTAAGCGTGACGAACGAACGCTTTAACCATCAGGCTACCCCACCGCCAACAGATTATATAAGGATGGGAAATAATGATATGATGAATGGATCACGGGAAAATTAGCGATGACACCCGGTGTTCCCGAAAAGGGTAAGAAGATCACAATTTCATGATGTGACAAGAAGTTGGATGTTTGGAGGTGGTAGCGCATGCTCATATCTTTAACGTTACGTAAAATATCTAAATCGACACATGATTGTGGGACGTGTAGTTAATAAAACAAAATATCAATAATACACAAATACTAATATCATATTGAGATGGTATAATGGCATGACCATGATATTGTTTATTTTGAAGTATATCAATTAATATACATATAAATTATATAAATGAACAATGCGATCAACGAGACAGATGTATCCTTGCCACATGGCACAACATAACACATGATAAATAGTGTAACACATGGTAAATATGTAACTAAACAACGCTACACTTTTGGTTGTTTGATTGACTTGGTGATGCATATTTGCCGAAAATGAGTGGGCTAGTGAGTTTAATTTTACGCCGCTTTAAGAAATATTCCAGCAATATCACGGCGGGATACAAAAGAAATGGGCGTCACACATTGTACCCATGTGGGGAATCGAACCCGGGTCTTTAGGCTTGACGAGCGACGCTTTACTGACTGACTGAGTTTAGTTTTACGCCGCTTTTAGCAATATCCCAGCAATATCACGGCGGGGGACACCAGAAATTGGCTTAACACATTGTGCCCATGTGGGGAATCGAACCCGGGTCTTCGGCGTGACGAGCCAACGCTTTAACCACTAGGCTACTCCACCGCCCCTATTTGCGGAAAAAGACCTCAAGCTCTCTGTTGACAGTGAAAGGATTCGTACAACTGTCGATATGTAGCATGTCACTTGTAGACACTATTATTAAACATTAATGCTTAATTAATAGTAATAATTCTTCTTTCAACGGGTGAAAATGTACATACAAGCAAGAGTAATAAACTTATTTTCAACAGCTGTTACGTTTACAATTCAATATCAGAGAGCAATACGTGTACTGGTTTCGGTTCTATGGAAACATGAACGCAAACATAATTTGTCAACCATTCAAATGCCAGGTGATCACTTGTAATATATTTATTTCACCATAAGTGCTAAACTCCGGCACGGGTTCGTCCAGAAATTTCTTAAAACTCCTCTTTAAATCCACTTTATAAACAACACTCCAACGTTTGTTCACAACAGTTTCCATGTTTACATTTTGATTAAATGTAACGTTATAGTCTCTGCAAATCTTCAGTAGCACTACATCCGTCTGTACTAATCGCTGACAAGTCGACAAAAACTCGTCAAATATTTTGATTACTAGTTAAAAGAGGTTGCAATGGTTATTAAATTGATGGACATAGCCTAAAATTTGATGAGCCATTTCCAGAATAACCAGGAACCGCCATAACTTGAACAATATATACCTGCACATGATATCAAGTGGCGTATGTCTGTCCTCTAAGGGTACTGTTTCCATGGAAATGATCCACTGTAAAGAGCGTACCAGAAAGACACCACGGGACGTCGTAGTATACAACTTTCAATCTGCTCACGGATGGAAGAAATTGGAAGCACGAGGTCTCACAACAATTCCTAATCGATCATCTAGGGTATTCCATCTTCGTTCTATTCTGATAAACACCCTGGACCGATTAACAGGTTTTTTTTCTGAATGGGAGAGGATTGGTTTATGCCGATTTTAGCAATATTCCAGCAATATGACGATCGGGGACACGGGCTTCAAACATTATATCCATGTGGGAATTGAACCCGGGACTTTGCCATTACGAGCAAGAGCTTAAACCAGTTGACTAACACACTTCACATTTGTTCTGAATTACAAAATATCAAATTAAACAATTTCATTGAAAGAGGGGAATTTTATGCAAAGATAATAAGATAGATGGCGTGTCAATTTCTAAAGAAACGACGGGTCCAGGGTATATATCATTATAGATATGCGTCACGATACACTGCTTTATCGAGGGTGGCAGTTACTATGTCCCTTGAAGTTGTACGTATAAACATCACAGTCACGTTCCGCCAATGTTCCTTGAGCACTTCCTAAATGTCCAAAACAACTTACGTCGTTTACGTTGTCGTAGGCAGGGTTACGAGGCAGCGTTGGATCTCCGTACTGGGTAATCTTTCATGAAACTCTGCACTCTAACTTGTACCCTGCTGCGGGCGGTTTCATTCTCCCTCATCTTATCGTCTCTAGCCATCTGTCTAGCCGCCGTTATAGACATAGGCGACTTTTGAGTTCTAGTCAGATGGTTTCGCCAATCGACTGCGGACATCGTTGGACGCCTTTGGTTAAGGATCTCCGACAGTCCGGCATTTCGTCCCGGTGACGGTGACGCAGATGAACGACGTGGAGGGTAGAGATTCGGTGATGGGGATCGCGACGGAGCTGGGGAGAGAGAAACTGTGGAGGAAGGCATGTCGTTAAAGGCGCTATGTCTACGAATAGCTTGGGGGAGGGCTCGACGAGGATCCCTTCTTTTCGCCGCTTGCGCTCGAAGAATCTTTTTAGTAATGTCAGATGTATCTCTTTCCCATTCATACTTGGGAGTAGCGCGGCCAGAAATATCAGTTCTTTCGGAACCAGAATCCGAATGTCTGTCCGAATCGTCCCAGCTTGAAAGCTGCAACGTCAGTGCCGGAAGTCGACGTGAGGGACTGCTTTGCGGTCGGGGCGGAAGTGACGTCAGGGAATCAGACACAACAGACGACACACTTTCTCTACGATTACTACTCCTGTCCATCGCCGACTGAGGTCTTTTGAACCTTCTAGCCCGTCTACTGACGATCCTTTCTCCGTACATAAAGCAGGGCTCATTGTCCTCGTCCTCAGACTCGTCCTCGGACTCGGATTTCAGTTTCTCCTTCTCGGGGGACATTCCTTCCGGACTCTTCCCACTGGAACTCTGGATGTAGTCCAAAGACACGGACACCATCCTGATGTCCTGATTGGTCAGCCTCACCTGGTGGACCTTCTGCTTCTCCAGGAGATAGAGTTTCCCATGGAGACGGCTCTGCTCGATGTTGTTGATGCGGTAAGCCCGCTGGACACGAGAACTGCTGTAACTTGGATTTTCTCTGGCAGGCATTGTCAAGTCATTAAAAACTTACAAATATTTCAAATCAACCAATTTCCAAAGACATTTGTACCATCTGGGTAGCAGGTGGGTGAACAAGCAGCGTCTCAATCAAGGTAATCTTTGATCAACATCCTCTTCATCACGGAACCGTTAGGATCAACACGTTCATCTGCCCCATCAGAATGCATCAGTGGTTATCCTCATTTTTCGATTCACAGAGACGTTTCATTTGCGGGATGTGCTCCTTTTACCAACGTCTATTGAACACGCACCATCGGTGAATACTGAAACTCCCGCAGTACATCCGTGGCTACTGAAAGCTGAGGTGTGCAGGAGGTGTCTGAAGTAAATCGAGATCTAGACGTCGATCCGTCCAGCGCCAGATCTTACAGCTCAGGTCACACCTGTCAATAAAAGAGGATTACTACGCATTAGCATTAGTGGCAAAATACAAACGAATTAACGGGTCAATAAGATCATGTCAGTTTTAACAGCACGGGGGTGTTGTGTTATTGAGGATTATGTGCTGTCCCAGATACATAAGCATATGGAGCAGACTTTACTCTAGATGGCCACACCGGGTTAAGTCCGCTTAAGCTTATTAAACGCACTAGATTGTGATTATGACGTTATTAAGCAGATGGAAACTGACGAGTCCGACGTAACAGCAGTTTGTTGGCATTACTTCTACCTCAGTTGTTTGTTGACAGCCTTCTGGACGCTGCATATAGTGGGTGCACGTTCGCTGAATCGTCAGTCCTAATTTATCCATTTAATAACATGGATACATATTTCACCAGTCCAATGAGAACATTTTTTTCTGAACCTTTTGTGAATAAACCAGCTTATGTGATATCTTCAGTAAATAGTATTTCAGTTGATGTGAGTGAGTGAGTTGGGTTTTGCGCCGCCTTTAGCAGTATTCCAGCAATAACACGCCGGGGGACACCAGAAATGGCCTTCACACATTTTACCCATGTGGGGAATCGAACCCTGGTCTTCGGCGTGACGAGCGGACTCTTTAACCACTGGGCTACCCCACCACCCCTCAGCTGATGGACGGCGTGATTGGTTACTGTTGGATGCAAGTGATACATGTACAAGACGGTGGGCAGACAATAAGCCCACTGGGATAAAAAGCCCTCGGACAAAAAAAACCTAGGCTAAATGCCCCCAGGACAAAAATTTCAACCCATAGGATAAAACACCCTCGGTGTATATTTTGAGTTGACAGGTGATAACATGATGTTTTCTAAGCAATTCCTCCCACTGCTGATAGTTGTTACAGGCTCCTCGGTGACGATGTTGTTATTTTAACAATGGAATGAAGTCTGCTAAATGTTGTTTCAGAGAACTGGCTTAAATTGGTCACTTCCTCTTATGTTTGATTTCGTTGGGCAGGTACTCATTGTGGTATGTCAATGAACATGGTGTTTATTAAGATGGTCTATTAAGATGGTCAGCGCTATTATTATTTAAATAAATTGCTGATTTCCTGCTACCTTCTTTAAAGTTTGGAATCCAGCGGCCGGCTATTGGTGACGGTGTTCACAGCATTCGCTTTTGACTGGTATAGGACACAATATTAGACTGGTAAGAACTGTAGTACAAGTATCAACTGCACAACTGCATTATGTGCTTGGTGATTTACATTTGTGAAGTATGTGCTATTACATATGCTATTTAATGTTATATTATATTGTATTCATGTGGGAATGAAAAAAAGATTTGTTGGTATTCTTTTGCATTTCTTCATTGAGGACCCGTTGTCCTACCCATTGAGGGTTTTTTGTCATGGGGGCATTTAGCCTAGGGGTGTTTTGTCTGAGGGTGTTATGTCCTTGTGGCCCTATTGTCCTACCACCGTACAAGACATGTATTGATGAAATCAAGGCATACGAGTAATGGAAAACAGAGGATAATGATCATGGAGATTTTTGGATGCAAACCCACAATCAGCTGATTATCAACTGCTGTAGCAAAGGAAGTTGTGTTTAAACCATTGCCCTTTAAATTATCGGTATTATGGGGACAAAGTTCAAAAGGTGTTCCATCGGGTTGATATGTGTCAAATTATGGATAATAACCAGGTGAATGATCTTGAAGGAGCAAGAATAAACTTTAAACGTCGTATAAAGAAATTGAATAGAACAGAGGAAGTTACCCATAAAACGTGTCATGTATTCATGTTCGTCCAAATTCTAAATGCCTTCCAAAACTTCTGACAAATGACTAAACCCTCCCACTGCCACTAGAAAGTTGCACGATTCAGACTATATCATAAGCATGTGTTCATGGACCATTTTCAGACAGCGATGATACCAAGTGTTCGCGAAAAGCTGAGCGTATACTGTCCCACCTGTAGCGGGTGTAGGCAAAGGCAAGTCAATCGTTGACTGAAAACGCGCTAACAATTAGTCAGGTAAAATCAGGCAATTGCATCAGGCGTTAGTTTTCCTTGAGCGTCAAATTGTGAAGATTTGGAACACAATCGCCATAAATGCTTGAACCACTTGGTAACCCAACAAGGCCTAAATCTTTACATGAACATAGCTATTTGAATCTGTCTAATTATTCAAATGGAAACCAGTAGTTTGTGTTTGAGATAAACTAGACACAGAGCACACACCAGTGGCTGCTTAAAGACGTTAAGTCTGACCTGGGCTCTATGTGTCTGTCATACAGAACACAAATGCTACACATACACAAGTATTGATGGCGTACAGGAGCAGTACGATTGACTGTAACAATGACCAGTGAAAGGCAGTCAGTATTAATGATGGTCGTATCAAGATCGATTGAACTATTACACTAGCAACCTACAGCGGCTGTCGGGACAAACATATACCGTATAATATGATCTTATCGGGATACCTTATTAATATGTCACACCGACTGAAAACCTGACCGAATATGGAAGCATGCCAAGGGGTTTTATATACAGAGTAGGTTTGTGAGGGTACACAGACAACTACAGATGTGTTGTGTCCATGAATGAAGGAGGGGACAAATGAACGAATGAGAGAGAGAGAGAGAGGGAGAGGAGAGAGAGAGAGAGGAGGGAGGGAGGAGGGAGGAGAGAGGAGGGAGAGGAGGGAGAGGGAGGGAGGGAGGAGAGAGGAGAGAGAGAGAGAGGAGAGAGAGAGGGAGGGAGGGGGGAGGGAGGGAGAGAGAGAGGGAGGGAGAGAGAGAGAGGGAGAGGGAGAGAGGGAGGGAGGAGAGGGAGGGGGAGGGGAGGGAGGGGGAGGAGAGGGAGAGAGGGAGGAGAGGAGAGAGAGAGAGAGAGAGAGAGAGAGAGAGAGAGAGAGAGAGAGAGAGAGAGAGAGAGAGAGAGAGAGAGAGAGAGAGAGAGAGAGAACAAACGAGGGAAAGGGAGAAAAGGCAAGTATGGTGAGATCCGTTGGTGAGATCAGTTGTTTGAAGGATCCGGTTTTCATTATTTCCAAGAAAACTAAGGACGACATCCACAATAAGAGTAGTTGCGTCATCGCATATTGACCATATTTAACTGGTTTTCTATATTGCCTTTTTAACTCATAAATCTAGAATTAAAAGGTTCATTTAATGAGACTGGGACCTTGAACAAGAATTGTCCATATGTACTGTCAACAACGATGAAGCCTGGTCCTAATGCATGTTAGTGAATCTACTTTCTGTACTCCAAGCTTTGGAAATGGTATGTTAGACTGTATCGCAGTCCCTGAACCGTATTATTTCCCTTCCTCACATCCCGTTCTGCAATGTCAAAGTCCTAAATGAATTAAGTGTAGATTTCCTAACGTTCTCATTCTCCCTTCTCACTGGGGCTGGTTTCAATTTGATAGGAATTATTTGATTTTATTAAAATAATAATCAGAGTGTATATTGTAAGCGTTAGTCTAACTTTATGTCTGAGATGCTCCATATAATGAATTGTTCCAACCTTTCCTTACACTGAGCTAAGGGCTGTCCATTGTTGTTGTCCTAAAGATTGAAGTAGGATGATATTCCATTAAGGACTGTGCCACAATGTAACGAGTCGTACCCAACAACTGCAAAACCTGCCTTGAAATATGTGTGCGTTACTTCCAGTTATGCAACATGCTGTGTACTATTCGGTAAGTGAGTGAGTTTAGTTTTACGCCGCACTCAGCAATATTCCAGCTACATGGCGGTGATCTGTAAATAGTCGAGTCTGGACCAGACAATCCAGTGATCAGCAGCATGAGCGTCGATCTACGCAATTGGGATACAATGACATGTGTCAACCAAGACAGCGAGCCTGACCACCCGATCCCGTTACTCGCCTCTTACGACAAGCATGGGTTACTGAAGAGCAATACTAACCTTAATCTTCACGGGTCAGATTATGAACCTAGAAATGATAATCGATCACATGACTTTCCGGATTCATCAGTCTGGGTATACAACAATGCATGTATAAATACCAGGATAGCTTGAATTCGTTTTGTCGAGCCGAAAAGGATCTCAAGAAATATATTTTGGTTTGGAATTACTGTATGTCTCTAACTCCTGTAAATAAAATGACAAAATTATTTTCATAGACATAGACACTCTTTGTTGAAGGCAGAATCCGTTATCTGATTCCGAATTTAGCATGTGTTTAAGTATCACTGTCAAATAGTGATGATACCGGGTGTCTTAAACACTGGTGGCACCAGTCACGTGCAAAAGCGCGAACCAGTGATTGGCATAATTGACCAACTTGCATTTGATAAAATCATAGTTGCAAAATTAAAATTATAAACGCGTTAATACTGACCCAAATTATATGATGACAAGAAATCAGTTTTATATATGACGCCAATATAATACTTTAGTGACGCTTTATCTATTATTTACAAAGCTTTTCATTTGATGCAGCTGTACACTGGTATTATACATATGAGGCAAGATATAACTAAGAGCGTTATATGCGGCAACACAACTATCTCTATGGGTTATGGGTTAAGATACGGGGTGCACTTTAAAATCTAGTCTATGTTAGTAAAGGAGCAGTGGGTTAGCCTCGTGGTTAAAGCGTTGGCTCGTCACGCCGAAGACCCGTGTTCGATTTCCCACATGAGTACAATGTGTTAAGCCCATTTCTGGTGTCCCCTGCTGTGATATTGCTGGAATATTGCTAAAAGCAGCATAAAACTAAACTCACTCACTCACTCACTCACTCACTCACTATGTTACTAATATTTGACGTAAGTCACAGTTTAGCAAGCAAGCTGTGATATACTAGTATATAGATAATAACGTTGGGAAATTATTGTTTGAATGATTTGAACCAAACTCGCTAAAACTACACGAACCAGTTGGCCAGCCTAGACAACCCACCCCCTCCCGAACCCCCTCATATTCCCTAAGGGCAACGTAACCTACCTGTCTAAACAACGTCCCGAGTGATCACAAAAACGAAGCGTCCACTATGCTCCTAGGCCTGTTGTCCATTCCCCACACACTGGAGAGAAGGGTCGACCTGACACAATATAACTCCTGTGTCTTAACAGTGGCGGGCGTGCCCCACTCAGTGAACGACTTATACAGTCACAGTAAAACTCTCACTCGTGTGAGCTATTGGCGGCAGTAAGCTCTCTTATTGATAACAGATCGATCAAATATCGACTTTGTTATCTCTGACACTTGAAGCAGGTGTGCGTTCGCTAAACGACCGGCTCTAGACGTTTATGTTGGTTTGATAGTAACCCTAGTGTACGGACATGCAATTTGAATAAATTCGAAAAGGTTGACGTAATGGATTATGGAAATTGGGAAAAATGACAATAAAGACATGCCTGTTAAGGTAACTGAGATTTCGAGTATTAGGCTCGTTCACTGTCCTTGATGTCTAAATTGCGTTTTAAGCCCTTGGCTTTATGGGGAAATCTATATAAAAATAGTCCCTGTGTGTAAAAGCGTGAATAATCTGACAATGAAATGAATCAGAATTTGAGGATATATTAAATTGATGACAAGGCTAGACTGGCGAATTAGCATGTTTGTATATTCATCTTGCACAAGCAGGCATGACGCAGGCATATAGCTATTAACTTTTCGTTACCAATTCAAACGAGATAATAGCTGTACGCTGAGCGTGTAGGCCTGTAAGAAACATGTAGAGAGAAAAGAAGCGAGGGACTGGAGGTTGGTTGACTCGAATAAGTATGTTTGGCTTTTCCTTTGTTATTTTACGCCGTGCTTGCAGTTTCCAAGTATATTTGTATCTACATGAAATTTTTAAATGAGTGAGAGAGTGTGAGTTATATATATATTCAAACAACATCGCGTCGGGGGACACAATAAATGGGCGTTACTCATGGTACCGGTACCGATGTGGGTGATCGCATATGGACCCGGGGCGTGACGAGTGGCACTGCGTTAACCCTAGGCTACCCTACTCCTCGTAAATAGGCCCAGAAAATAAGGGGTTGATATCATGAACAACATCAAACGTCATCGTAATACAATATGACATCAGCAACATTACCGACCACAACGAGTTCTCACAGGGCTGCTCTAATGTAACATATATGTGTCACTACGTAGCTTGTCTGCTTGTTGTTAAACTCTACACTTGTCCCGCTATATCACAGCGGTTTGTAAATAATCCAGTATGGACCAGGCAATCCAGTGATTGACATCATGAGCAACGATACACGTAACTGGGATACGATGGCATGCATCAACCGAGTCCGCGAGTCTGACCATCCGATCCCGTTAGAAGCCTTTTAATTACTACAAGCATGGGTTGCTGAAAACGAAGTCTAACCCGAATCTTCACGGTTATGTCACTGCATAGATGGTGAAGACTATCGTGTTCTGGGGCGGTGGGGTAGCCTAGTGGTTAAAGCGTTGGCTCGTCACGCCGAAGACCCGGGTTCGAATCCCCACATGGGTACATTGTGTGAAGCTCATTTCTGGTGTCCCCCGCCGTGATATTGCTGGAATATTGCTAAAAGCGGCGTAAAACCAAACGCACTCACTATCGTGTTCTGTTGCCTTGGCGTCTTCGTTCCTGAAGGGTAAGCTGTACGGTAACCGGATACTGGTAATATATTGCAACGTCTTCCTCAACTGTCGCATGAAAAAGGTCGCCATGCGACCCAACTGGACCGTATGTTACAGGTCAAGCAAAGACTCCTGTCTCATGGAAGTAGCTCTTATTAATAAGTCCTCTATCTTTTCAGTTTGTATATGAATATGCCTTTCTTTCACATTTCCATGATGTCGCGAAAACGGACATACAAATATTACATTAAGCCCTCTGGTCGGCGGTGGCAGAAAAATGGTAATTCTGAGAATTATATACTCATGCCAATAATGGTTGTCACCCCCCCCTCCCCAACCCCAACCCCACACACACCCCACATCCCACCCACACCCCTCTCCAATAAAAAATTGAAGGGGGTGACAACCATTATTGGCATGAGTATACATGACATTGTGTAAATCTCTTAAGGTGTAAGGGGGTGTCAAACGCTGTATATTTCTGTTGTAACTTAATACCAGAGTTAAAATGACGGATCTTATTCAACAAAGCAGCTATCGACATCTCTTTCACATGCATCGTAATAAATACATAGTTAATATATTGGGGTGGTGTTAAGAGATACAAAAGTTCATCAATTAAATAACGCAATCATTTATGCTGAATAGTTTGAATATGTAACAATTCCTCGTGCAACACAAATGTCATTATTCATTTGAATATTCCTACTGAATGACATTAAACATACAACTAGAATGGACACGTGTAACGGTAAAATTGATTAACTTTAATGATATGAAATATCAAATACTGTATGTTTTTGTTCAAATAGCAGAGCGTGATAGCTACCTCAATCCTATCCGGGACAGGTAAACAAATATACACTCCAGACAAACACTGAGGCATGCTTGTGACATACATGGGTGGATAAAATAGCTAGCAAATACACGGCCAGTCATACATATGTCTGAAATCCTTACCCACACAGAAAGGGTATCCGACCTTGTTCTCGAAGCATTTCAAGAAAATATATGCATACACAAAACCGAAAATAAACAAAACTAAATTACCTTTGAACAGCTATTTCGTTTGTGATAAAACCTCGTCTCAAATCTGCAGTGGCATATTCACTACCGAAGAAGCTATGTCCCTCAGCAGTAATCCGCTTCTTGTCAACTTAGTTATTCCGTATCCGTATATGTTTGAATCTCGTTTTCACTGTTACCCGACACTCGCTGATAAGGCGAACACACGACTCCGCCAAAAGATATCTATCTTTAGAAACACTTTGTTGCCTACTTCGCGTAGTATAACCTACTAACTCAAGCCTATCGTATTCTTTATTACCAATAGCTTGTCTCATACAGAAGACAATTGAAAAGCACCGCTGCTAATGCTCAACTTCTATATTTCATGGATACCGGTTACCGTTTCAGCATATTCCTGTTTGTATGGGACACCGTCGATAGTCAGGCTGGGAAGAAAGGGGAGAGCATTGAACAGTGCTCGGGTTACTATTGTTTTCGTTGTCGGGGTGAGAGCTGATGACTGGGGTACATTCACAGGCGTGACTCGCTTTCAGATTGGATTGTATAGTGTGTAGTGTTGTAAAACAGGTTCCATTATTTACACTGTGAGCTATTTAGTTGTCAGATTGCACGCTTAGTGTACAATTGAATACGATCATATCTTAATATTTCCATATTGACAGTTTGGTGGTTACTTTACTTATTCTTATTATCGGAATAATAGTTTCCATGGTGATTCTTGGAGTGTTTCTCAAAACCTCAAAGCCGATTATGCCTTTATGTAGCCTTTGGTAAATCTTGGTTTTGTTATGTTATACACAATGTATCCTAAATGGGTTTTGGGACGGTGGGGTAGTCTAATGGTTAAAGCGTTCACTCGTCACGCCGAAGGTCGGGTTCGATTCCCCGTATGTGTAAAATGTGTGAAGCCCATTTCTGGTGTCTCCCGCCTTGATATTGCTGGAAAATTGCTAAAAGCGGCGTAAAACACAACTCACTCGCTTACTCACTAAAATTGTTTTTCCTGCTAATTTGAGTATTTTTGCGGTGGCGGGTGGTGGTGCTTCAAGACTAGACTAAAGAAGGCCTTGTGTATAATTTTGATAGGGACAAGCAAGTGCTTTAAAATGTAAGGTGTGCCACTGAATCGCGAGCTTCGGAGCCCGAACCTGTGGAAACCATAGCCTTGGTGCTTTACTTGAGTACATAGCATTAGTGATAGGGATTTGGGAATAGAAAACATTTTTAAACTACCTTTCAAAAATACGGAACTAAGAACTTGCATGTAGCGGTCGTTGAGGTACGTCAATACCCCAAGTTCATAAACAGGTTGAACACCCAACGGTTTAATTTTCGACTCTGGTGTATATTGTCGAGTATAGTTCCGAGAACGTACATTTGCTTTTTAAAGTGAGTGAGTGAGTTTAGTTTTACGCCACTTTTAGCAATATTCCAGCAATATCACGGCGGGGGACACAAGAATTGGGCTTCACACTGCTTTTAATTAAAGACACAAAGTCTCCCTTTTCTTAATGGGACGGTCATGCTTTGTGAACACCTGGTGTCATTACTGATTTTCAGCATTTATGTAACTGATGTACCTGTGGCGCCCTATGGTAACTATTTGGGCATATTCGAGATTGATTATAACCTCTGTATTTTTAATTCAGAGGGTACAAGACAAAGTATTCTTGTGACATGTTCCCATTTGCAGTATACAATGACTCAAAGAAGGTAAAGATTTCTATAGGTTCACTTGGAGTTCATCAATTGCTCAGGTAAACAACATAATCACACTTACACAGTACCCTGTCACTATCGTCATTTCCCCATGTGCCTCAATAGTACAGCTACAGTTTACATAAACCTCTTTCTTCAATTACAGACACAAATGAATTCATCTTTGCTTAAAAAGTACTTATCTTCGTAACTAATACTTTAGATAAAGACAGTTGGATATCCTTTGAAAATGCATGTGATTGAGAATAATACCTTCAGTCCCCTAGAACCCGTGAAGATCCGTGTTAGAATTGGTCTTCAGCAACCCATGCTCGTCGTAAGAGGCCACTAACGGGATCGGGTGGTCAGGTTCGATGACTTGGAACGATGTTCATGTTGTTGATCACCGGATTGTCTGGGTGACTCTATTATTTACAGACCGCCACCATACAGCTGGGGTATTGCTTAGTGCTGCAGAAAACAACAAACAATCCGTCCCCTAGCAGTATTCAGTAATGTCTGAAATATTCTCGTTTGCCTCATTTGCCAATCAGCTTAGTATTCATATTATTCATCTGACATTATCTGAGCCACATTCGTTGAGCTGTACACCAAGCCTCACTGATCAAGTCGCCTATTTCCTTTGAGGAATATCGCATGGATTGCTTTCCAATATTCCAGATACCGCGTGTGGAGGGTGCGCTCTGTCATTGATACGTGAGTGTAATATATGTCAGCATACTTACACCGCCGCGTTCCCTCCCGCTCCCGACCCCCTCGAGCCTGGGGTACTGACACCTTCCCTCTCACTGCGCTTCTCAAGTGTGGATATTGTTGGGGGTTGTAAATCAAACCCTCTGCGTCCTTGGTTATGTTCACATACATCGCCTCGTCTTGTCGTGTGGCTATCTGTAGTGTTTACCCCGCGCTTGTATACAGTTGCCACCTGTCCCTTGCGTAACTGCGTAACCTCCTTGACAGACCTCACCCACTCTCTTCCCCACAAGGATTTAAAAATGTCTTACCTGTAATCAAGTTGACTTACGTCAACCTGTGATTTGCTGGGACTCGGGGACCCCTGTTGCAGGTCGTTTGTTGTTTAGCGTCTTTGTGTATTGGAGTCATGTGGTGTACTTGCGTGGATGTTTTAACCGCCGATATTCCAGTTATTATGACAGGAGAATATTATTATGAATAATCGAATATGGATCACACAAGCCAGAGATCGATACATGAGTGAGTTATAATTTTACATCGAATCGACACTATTGCCACCATATCGCGATGAGTGAGTGAGTGAATTGGGTTTTTTCATCCAGCAACAGCACGGCGGGGTACACTAGAAATGGGCTCCACACATTGTACCTATGTGGAGAATCGAACCCGGGTTTTGGTCCCCCCCCCCCCGCCGAGATATTGCTGGAGTGCTAAAAGCGACGTAAAACCAAACTCACTCACTATTGGCTCCATGCTCTGCTGGCCAATAGAAAAAAACATTCACTGGTATCAAGGACTTAAAACACTGGCCTATGTCATATCCTGAATTAAAACACCAGTTGATCTTATATATATATACTTTAGAGGTACTCACGCACGATATCAGAATATGCAGGCTATGTGGTATACATGCACAAATCTCTATGGTAATAATTAATAGTGTAACCGATAATTTTTACAGCTATAAATAAATTTAACAAATTGACCCACCAACATATTGGCGTCCTTAGACTTAAACTGTCCGCTTATCTAGTACATAACACCAGTCCTGAAGGACTTACACTGGCTCACTGTAAAAGACAGAGTTGTATCAAACTTCTTGTGTTTGTTTACAAGTCCGTTAATGGTCTTGCTCCATTCTATCTCCAGGAACTAGTCAACCTTCACAAGCCTGGAAGGTCACTCAGATCAGCTAGTCAGCAAAGCTTAGATGTTCCATCTGTCCGAACCACAACATACGGGGACAGAATATTTAGCAGAGCGGGTACTGTACACTGGAATGGATTACCTGAAAATGTCAGAAAATCGGAAAATATCAACAGTTTCCGATCTTGTCTCAAAACCATCATCTTCAAACGAGCATTCGACTAAGCACACATGAGCAGGACTCTGGATTTGTAGCGCTATACAAATGTCTAATTTGATTTGATTTGATTTGATCTAGACTTCACTCTTTAAAGGATAGAATTACTATACAACTATGAGCTTAGACTTCAGTGCTGGCTTTGAGCAAGGCTAGTTATATTGTAATTGTATGTGTAGTGACTGGGGTGTGGTATATGTGTGGGTAGGTAGGTGTATGTGTGGTATGGGGTAGATGTAATCGCTACAGTTTGATATCGGTCCCTCTCAGTCACATTTATGATATCTGAGATATAAATCCCACGGAGACCTCTATTACGTACCCCACCTTAACAACAATACGTTATATCTGTCAATCATAACTCCATTTACACCAATTTGAGTAAATAAAACTTGCAAATCAATGCAGTTTATCAGCCCCTTACTCCATAACTACCTTTCAAGTACAATCAATCTTACTTGAGAACGACACTTGATGGTAATACGACAAATATCAACATTTCCATTTCCAGAGTCAAGTAGGCAAGGCGTTCTGTTGTTACGCAGTTCTAATATTGTTACCGGTCGATTTTCAAACTGAAACAACATTTTAACCCAGTAGTCTACGAGCAAGAGAATTTAATGTTAAATGAAAGAACAATTGATCCTTTGTTTTTTTCCAGGTTTCGTCACAAGCTATGCTAAACAAAGCTTGTCAAGAAACCTTGGGCAAAAAAATAAAGGAACACTTGTGCTTTCATGTGATCCCTTATTTTTTCCTTCAGTATGTAATTGTTGCAATTGTATAGCCGGTTTAAAACATACACCCTGGTTTACAATTCCATACAAACTGCTAAAAATGGCAGTGCACAATAAAGTTGAAGTTCAAAAGACATTGGCAGTATAAAATAGAATAGCATTGAAAAATAATTTTGTCCTTCTCTGGCGAGTACCATGCAGGGTGTTTTCGTATGATGCGATTGCTGTGTCAGTTAGTCCGGAGACATTGTCGAGGGTCTTAATGGGACATTCATGTGTACTTTGTTTGTAGTTTAACGCCGCAATATTCTAGCTATAGGACGACTGTTAACAATCGAATCAGGACCTGACACTCCGGTGACTGACATCATAAGCATCGATCTACGGACTTGGGAAGCCGTGGCATGAAGCAACCAAGTCAGCGAGCCTGACCACCAGAACCCTTGGTTCCCTTTTACGACAAGACCGCCTCCGTGGTGTAGTGGTTAGAGCGTCCGCCCGGAGTGCGGAAGGTCGTGGGTTCGATCCCCGACCGCGTCATACCAAAAGACGTTAAAATATGGTACTTGTTGGTCCCTGCCTGGCGCTTGGCATTAATGGGTACATCAAGGACTGGTCGGCTCGGAGTATAATGTGTCTGAGTGGGGTATTCATGCTTCACTGCGGCATGGTATCTCAGTGGGCTAGCACTATAAAACCAGCTTAAGTCTGGGCTAGTACAAGCAGCCGCACCTACACATACACACGCATGCACGTCGTCATATGAGCGAAATATTCTCAAGTACGACGTAAGACCCAATTTCACCTCACCTCTTACGACAAGCATGGGTTACTGAGGACCAATTCTTCATAGATTTTGAACCGAGTCATTCATCAGTGACATGTAATGGAAATGATTTTTGTCAGAAAGTAATGCGTTTAATGTGTTGAATTTGGGCATAATTTCAATCTGTCAACCTGTCAAATCCTGAAAAAGGGGTTACGTATCATTAATATTTTGGGGGATATTTACTTTTAGGTCAGACTCTGTACATATTTTCATGAAATAATATCCCCAGAAATATTCATGATCCCTATACCTTGTATAACAGACTGTATTCACAGTCGAACTGTGTCAGTACAGTCAAATGACCATCGTATAATTTGTTGGGTATAGATCTGAACTTTGACTACATACACCACACTACCTGTGTGAACCTAGGGCATGTTAAGTACAATGACCAGTCTAAATCGCCAGTATTGTATTATATACCCATGTAAACTTAGGATAGTACCACAGGTGTGCAAGGCGGATGACGTGGTCAAAGTCCGTATTGCACCCCAGATTCCGTATTGAACCCCTGCCGGTTGTACATTGCTATTCTATGATTTGTTTTATTAAGTAACAGATTAATGCAAGATAAGAGGGTGTATAATAAATATACTCATGCCAATAATGGTTGTCACCCCTTCGATGTTTTTAATTGGAGAAGGGGTGTGGGGTGTGTGTGTGTGTGGTGTTGGGGTGCGGAGGGGGTGACAACCATTATTGGCATGAGTATATATCGATACACATGCATATATATCGAAGAACGAGTTGTTTCTCTGCTCCCATGACATCTTCGAGTTCAATACAATACACCCAAATGCACTAGTATGACTTTCTGGGCAGTGGGGTAGCCTAGTGGTTAAAGCGTTGGCTCGTCACGCCGAAGACTCGGGTTCGAATCCCCACATGGGTACATTGTGTGAAGCGCATTTTTGGTGTCCCCCCGCCGTGATGTTGCTGGAATATTGCTAAAAGCGGTGTAAAACCAAACTCAGTCAGTCAGTCAGTCAGTATGACTTTCTGTGTATGTATTAAATAGGAACGGAAAGAGTTGTAAATACATGCTAACATGTAATCTCTTCAGGCTTCTTGCCTTGAGGTACTTACATGTATTACAAATCATCTTTCGTTGTAACCATTGAGCTTCATAATGATTACTCTTCGGATGTTTGAAACGGGGAAACTTAGCAGCTGATATCGAGGATACAGTTACACTCTAACGACATGACGAGGAAAGACTGACTGACTGACTGAGTTTGGTTTTACGCCGCTTTTAGCAATATTCCAGCAACATCACGGCGGGGGACACCAGAAATGGGCTTACATTGTACCCATGTGGGATTCGATCGGCGTGGAGCCAACGCTTTTGATTTGTGAAAGAAGGTCTTTGATGGGAGAATTTTGATTTGTGAGTCATGAGTTTTGGCTTGGCCATGACATAAACAGTTGCACGTCAGAACTGCAGAACGGGGCGTAGCGCTGCCACGTTGAAATGTCGTTCAGGACCATGTTGCTGGTGCCTGTCGGTTACTCGTGATCAGGATGTGTATTGTTGGACTACATCCATCGTTCCACAAAACCTTGAACCTCAAGACTCAGTTAAAACACATATTGTTCCCCGAAACAACCTTAAATACATTTACTATTAAGTTAAAATAAAAACTGAGGTTATTCCTAGTCAACCTTAAGTAGATAATGTTGAAATGTATGGTTGGTTTGTTGTTTAACGCCGCACTGAGCAATATTCCAGCTATATTACGGTGGCCTGAAAATAATCGACTTTGGACCAGACAATCAAGTGATCAACAGCATGAGCATTGATTTGCGTATTTGGGATGCGATGACATGTGTCAACCAAGTCAGCGAGCCTGACCACACCTTCCCACTAGTCGTTACTTTAGATGGACTCACGCACGATATATAAAGATATTTATGAAGATGTGTATTTGCTATGATTTGTATTTCTCAAAGGAAATTAGTATACAAACAACAAAGTGATTCGGAGAGTATGGGGCAGAGTCCGTTGCAGTGTCACTAATACTTCTATCCCTCCAGAGTGGTCAAGTACTGGTGGAATCTGATTTAAATACAACAGCACAGATTTCCTCACCAAGATTATACTATGATTATTGATGATAACCCTTGATGATAATGGAAAAATTGCATGGACATCTCATATAAGAACATTATTATTTTAGTTGCTGTCTCAATATATTGGTTGTATCTTATCATCTATGGTTTGGGTTCAAACAGGGATTTTATGACCGCTTCCTTCACCAACGACTTCAATCTCGAAGATTCACTCTTTGATAGATTCTACATTGGTAGGCCTGTACATGTACGTGGCACCATCAGCAACTAACTGATGATTGGAAATGAGGTGTATATAAAACTATTTCTTATGTATTGTTATCCCCTTTTCATGCTTACAGCATGCTCCTGACCAAATGTATCCTTTATATACCCTGGCTCCTTTTCTCTAAGTAGTCAGCAACCTCTCTGCAAACACATTGGTACCTGTGAAGGTCCGGGTTAGAATGAACCTTCAGTAACCCATGCTTGTCGTAAGAGGCGACTAACGGAATCGGGTGGTCAGACTCACTGACTTGGTTGACACATGTCATCGGTTCCCAATTGCGCAGATCGATGCTCATGCTGTTGATCACTGGATTGTCTGGTCCAGACTCGATTATTTACAGACCGCCGCCATATATACTACCATCAAAAGTTTAGACTCACTTAAAGCACTCACTATATGTTATATATATATATTTCTGGGAACTATCTGCAGCCCTTATGCAGATAAATTGCACGAGAATCATGCATCAAACTTCTGAAAAGCATGTGGAAATATCGTGCATGTGAACAGTTGCGGATTCGTCATTTATTGATTTCATGACAATAATAATCTTTTCAACGTCACACATTTGTTTTACAATACATCAGTTCATATGTAAACAGCACCTTTATACAGTATGGAATATTTTGCAAAATCTAGTTTAGAACAGTTGACTGAAGTAAATGGCTATATTTAAACTAGTGAGTCTAAACTTTTGATGGGTAGTATAGCTGGAATAGTGCTGAGTGCGGCGTAAAACTAAACTCACTCACTCACGCAAACACATTGGTAGGCCTCGTCTGTCATCCAGCAGTCGGAAGCATACCTCAGAATACATCTTCCACCGGACTTGCCAAGCTCCTTACACCGGTCATTGCAAGACTTCCAAAGCCATCCCGTTCATCAGGGGTTCATCTGTCTCATAGCAACCTCCTGTCAGTTGGGGAATAACATTGCTTGTATGCACACTCAGATCCGCTGTGGATGCCACCTAATTATTGGATTACGCCAAACATCTTCAGTCAAATGTATGTATTTGTTTTATTTACTAACTTTACATTCTTATGTAAAAGAAGGGTTTTCGACACTAAATGCCAGGTATCTTGTGTTAGGCTAGTTAACAGACAAAGCACAAGGGCAGATTTGCCTTACAACTGAATACAAGTTTGGACACTCCGGTCCATACTATTATCAAAACGGATCCGTTTTACTTCCGCTAGTTGCAAACACATTGGTAGGCCTTGTCTGTTATCCAACAGTCTGAAGCATCCTTCAGAACACATTTTCCACCGGACTTGCCAAGCTCTTTACACCGGTCATTGCAGGACTTCCAAAGGGTTCCCGTTCCCCAGGAGCTCCAGCCAGAGCATCTGCTCCAGGTCTCCCAGCAACCAGCTTCCGTTTGGGGAAGAACCATCAGAGATGCCAGGACGACGATAGTTAAGAACATCGTTGCTGAAACAGTTATCGAAAATTCCACTTGAGTTATTAAACCCGTGAAGGTCCGGGTTAGAATATTGATCTTCAGTAACCCAAGCTTGTCGTAAGAGGCGACTAACGGGATCGGGTGGTCCAGCTCGCTGACTTGGTTGACACATGTCATCGGTTCCCCATTTTGCAGATCGTTGCTAATGCTGTTGATCAGTGGCTTGTCTGGTCCAGACTCGATTATTTACAGACCGCCACCACACAGCTGGAATAGTGCTGGGTGCGGCGTAAAACTAAACTCACTCACTCACTCACTTGAGTTAATATCTATATTTGAATGCTGCTGCCCCGTCTGGTTAATGGGCGGTGGGGTGGACATAGTGGTTAAGGCGTTCGCTCGTCACGCCGAAGATCCGGGTTCGATTTCCCACATGGGTACAATGTGGCTGATGTGGTGGTGCTGCTGATGTAGTGGCTGCTGATGTGGTGGCTGCTGATGTGGTGGCTGCTGATGTGGGTGGCTGTCTGGTGTAGTGGCTGCTGATGTGGTGGCTGCTGATGTGGTGGCTGCTGATGTGATGTGTGTGCTGATGTGGTGGCTGCTGATGTGGTGGCTGCTGATGTGGTGCTGGTGTGTGCTGATGTGTAGTGTGTGCTGATGTGGTGGCTGCTGATGTGGTGGTGTGGTGTGGCTGTGTGGTGGCTGATGCTGCTGGTGTAGTGGCTGCTGGTGTAGTGGCTGCTGATGTGGTGGCTGCTGCTGTGTTGTGGTGGCTGCTGGTGTAGTGGCTGCTGATGTGCCTGCTGGTGTGGTGGCTGCTGGTTGGTGTGGTGGCTGCTGATGTGTGGTGGCTGATGGTGTGTGGCTGATGTGTTGTGTGTGGTGGCTGCTGGTTATGTAGTGGCTGCTGGTGTGGTGGCTGCTGGTGTGGTGGCTGGTGTGGTGGCTGCTGATTGGTGTGCTGCTGATGTAGTGGCTGCTGGTGTGTGGTGGCTGCTGGTGTGGTGTGGTGGCTGCTGATGTGGTGTGTGCTGGTGTAGTGCCTGCTGATGTGGTGGCTGCTGGTGTAGTGGCTGCTGATGTGGTGTTTGCTGATGTGGTGGCTGCTGATGTGGTGGCTGCTGATGTGGTGGCTGCTGATGTGGTGTGTGCTGATGTGGTGGCTGCTGATGTGGTGGCTGCTGATGTGGTGGCTGCTGATGTGGTGGCTGCTGATGTGGTGTGTGCTGGTGTGGTGGCTGCTGGTGATGCTGGTGTGGTGGCTGCTGTGGTGGCTGCTGATGTAGTGGTGCTGGTGGCTGCTGATGTGCTGGTGGTGCCAATGGTGGTGGCTGCTGATGTGGTGGCTGCTGATGTGGTGGCTGCTGATGTGGTGGCTGCTGATGTGGTGGCTGCTGATGTAGTGGCTGCTGATGATGCGTGGCTGTTGATGTGGTGTGTGGCTGCTGGTGTGGTGGCTGCTGATGTAGTGTGTGCTGGTGTGAGTGGCTGCTGGTGTGGTGGCTGCTGATGTAGTGGCTGCTGGTGTGGTGTACTGCTGGTGTGGCTGTGGTGCTGATGGTGTGGTGGCTGCTGGTGTGGTGGTGTAGTGGCTGCTGGTGTGGTGGCTGCTGATGTGGTGGCTGCTGATGTAGTGGTGCTGGTGTGGTGGCTGCTGATGTGGTGGCTGCTGCTGATGTGGTGGTGGCTGCTGATGTGTGTGGCTGCTGGTGTAGTGGCTGCTGATGTGGTGGCTGCTGATGTGGTGTGCTGCTGATGTAGTGGTGCTGGTGTAGTGGCTGCTGGTGCTGAGTGGTGACTGCTGATGTGGTGGCTGCTGATGTGGTGGTGCTGATGCTGGCTGCTGGTGTGGTGTGTGCTGCTGATGTGGTGGCTGCTGATGTGGTGGTGCTGATGCTGGTGTGGTGGCTGCTGATGTGGTGGCTGTGGTGTAGTGCTGCTGATGTGGTGCTGCTGATGTGGTGGCTGCTGATGTGATGTGGTGCTACTGCTGGTGTGGTGGCTGCTGATGTAGTGTGTGCTGAGTGTAGTGGCTGCTGATGTGGTGTGGCTGCTGATGTAGTGGCTGCTGCTGGCTGCTGGTGTAGTGGCTGCTGGTGTGGTGGCTGCTGGTGTGGTGGCTGCTGGTGTGGTGGCTGCTGGTGTAGTGTGCTGCTGATGTGGTGGCTGCTGATGTGGTGGCTGCTGGTGTAGTGGCTGCTGGTGTAGTGGCTGCTGGTGTAGTGGCTGCTGGTGTAGTGGCTGCTGATGTAGTGGCTGCTGGTGTGGTGGCTGCTGATGTGGTGGCTGCTGGTGTAGTGGCTGCTGATGTGGTGTGGTGGCTGCTGATGTAGTGGCTGCTGATGTGGCTGCTGGTGTGGCTGCTGATGTGGTGGCTGCTGGTGTGGTGGCTGCTGGTGTGGTGGCTGCTGATGTAGTGGCTGCTGGTGTAGTGGCTGCTGGTGTGGTGGCTGCTGGTGTAGTGGCTGCTGGTGTAGTGGCTGCTGGTGTGGTGGCTGCTGATGTGGTGGCTGCTGATGTAGTGGCTGCTGGTGTGGTGGCTGCTGATGTGGTGGCTGCTGGTGTAAGGGCTGCTGGTGTAGTGGCTGCTGGTGTAGTGGCTGCTGATGTAGTGGCTGCTGGTGTGGTGCTGCTGTGGTGTGTGGTGTGCTGCTGCTGTAGTGGTGCCTGCTGATGTGGTGGCTGCTGATGTGGTGGCTGCTGGTGTAGTGGCTGCTGATGTGGTGGCTGCTGGCTGCTGATGTAGTGGCTGATGTGGTGGCTGCTGATGTGGTGCTGCTGGTGTGTGCCTGTGGCTGTAGTGGCTGCTGATGTGGTGGCTGCTGGTGTAGTGGCTGCTGATGTGGTGGCTGCTGGTGATGTGGTGTGTGCTGATGGTGTGGTGGCTGCTGATGTGGTGGCTGCTGGTGTGGTGGCTGCTGATGTGGTGGCTGCTGGTGTAGTGGCTGCTGGTGTGATGTGGCTGCTGATGTAGTGGCTGCTGGTGTGGTGGCTGCTGGTGTGTGGTGGCTGCTGGTGTAGTGGTGTGGTGTAGTGGCTGCTGGTGTGGTGGCTGCTGGTGTAGTGCTGCTGCTGGTGTGGTGTAGTGGCTGCTGATGTAGTGGCTGCTGCTGATGTGGTGGCTGCTGGTGTGGTGGCTGCTGATGTGTGGTGCTGCTGTGTGGTGGTGGTGCTGATGTGGTGTAGTGGCTGCTGGTGTGGTGGCTGCTGGTGTGGTGGCTGCTGATGTGGTGGCTGCTGATGTGGTGGCTGCTGGTGTAGTGGCTGCTGATGTGGTGGCTGCTGGTGTGGTGGCTGCTGGTGTAGTGGCTGCTGGTGTAGTGGCTGCTGGTGTAGTGGCTGCTGGTGTAGTGGCTGCTGGTGTGGTGGCTGCTGATGTGGTGGCTGCTGCTGATGTGTGGTGGCTGCTGGTGTGGTGGCTGCTGCTGGTGTGGTGGCTGCTGGTGTGGTGGCTGCTGATGTGGTGGCTGCTGGTGTGTGAGTGGCTGCTGGTGTGAGTGGCTGCTGGTGTGTGTGGCTGCTGGTGTGGTGGCTGCTGCTGTGGTGGCTGTGCTGTGTGGTGAGTGCTGATGTGGTGGCTGCTGATGTAGTGGTGTGCTGCTGGTGTAGTGCTGTGTGCTGATGTGTGTGGCTGCTGATGTGGTGGCTGCTGGTGTGATGGTGTGGCTGCTGGTGTGGTGGCTGCTGGTGTGGTGGCTGCTGGTGTGGTGTGCTGTGTAGTGCTGCTGGTGTAGTGCCTGCTGGCTGCTGATAGTGGCTGCTGATGTGGTGGCTGCTGCTGATGTAGTGGCTGCTGGTGTGGTGGCTGCTGGTGTGGTGGCTGCTGGTGTAGTGGCTGCTGGTGTAGTGGCTGCTGGTGTGGTGGCTGCTGGTGTGGTGGCTGCTGGTGTAGTGGCTGCTGGTGTAGTGGCTGCTGATGTGGTGGCTGCTGATGTGGTGGCTGCTGGTGTAGTGATGTGGTGCTGCTGGTGTGGTGGCTGCTGATGTGGTGGCTGCTGATGTGGTGGCTGCTGATGTGGTGGCTGCTGATGTAGTGGCTGCTGGTGTGGCTGCTGTGGCTGCTGTGGTGGCTGCTGGTGTGGTGGCTGCTGGTGTGTGTGCTGGTGTGGTGGCTGCTGATGTAGTGGCTGCTGATGTGGTGGCTGCTGATGTGGTGGCTGCTGGTGTGGTGGCTGCTGGTGTAGTGGCTGCTGGTGTAGTGGCTGCTGGTGTGGTGGTGCTGCTGGTGGCTGCTGTGTGTGGTAGCTGATGCTGGTGCTGATGTGGTGGCTGCTGATGTGGTGGCTGCTGATGTGGTGGCTGCTGATGTGGTGTGCTGCTGGTGTGGTGGCTGCTGATGTGGTGGCTGCTGATGTGGTGCTGCTGATGTGGTGGTGTGGTGGTGGCTGCTGATGTGGTGGCTGCTGATGTGGTGGCTGCTGATGTGGTGGCTGCTGATGTGGTGGCTGCTGCTGCTGATGTGTGCTGATGTGGGTGTGTGCTGATGTGGTGGCTGCTGATGTGGTGGCTGCTGGTGTGGTGGCTGCTGGTGTAGTGGCTGCTGATGTAGTGGCTGCTGGTGTGGTGGCTGCTGGTGTGGTGGCTGCTGGTGTGGTGGCTGCTGGTGTAGTGGCTGCTGGTGTGGTGGCTGCTGTAGTGGCTGCTGGTGTAGTGGCTGCTGATGTGGTGGCTGCTGATGTGGTGGCTGCTGGTGTGTGTGCTGCTGATGTGGTGGCTGCTGTGGTGAGTGTGAGTAGTGGCTGCTGATGTAGTGGCTGCTGGTGTGGTGTGTTGCTGATGTAGTGGCTGCTGATGTGGTGGCTGCTGATGTGGCTGCTGTGTGGTGGCTGCTGGTGTAGTGGCTGCTGATGTGGTGGCTGCTGATGTGTGTGGCTGCTGATGTGGTGGCTGCTGATGTGGTGGCTGCTGATGTGGTGGCTGCTGATGTGGTGTGGCTGCTGATGTGGTGGCTGCTGATGTGGTGGCTGCTGATGTGGTGGCTGCTGATGTGGTGTGTGGCTGCTGATGTGAGTGGCTGCTGGCTGGT